CCCACCCGCCCCTCGCCCTGTGCCAGTCGCTGGCAGACCACCGCGGCTGCGGGCTCGCCTTTGCCGGGAGCAGGACGCCTGAATATATTCCAAAACTGAACGATTTGGGCAGAGTCGAAGCATTCTGTCTTCCCAGAGGCCCCAGTCGAGGCCAGGACACTCATCATGGTGAAGGCTGGCTGCTGGCTGCTGGCTCTTTTTGTGGCCCTTTGGATTGACACTGGCCTCTGCAAGACGCGATCAAAATCAGGAGGAGGGCGGAGCAGAGGGGGCAGCCGTTCCTCCTCCCACAGTGAGGGGACCTGGGGCCAGTCCCATGGCGGTGAGTGGGGACAGACCCGTGGTGGTGGCGGGGGTCATGGAGGTCGCACCTACAGTCAGTGGAACAAACCCAGCAAGCCCAAAACCAACATGAAGCATGAGGCAGGCGACACGGCAGCCAGGGCGGTGGTAAGGGGTCTGGGTGGCTACATGCTGGGGAGGGCCATGAGCAGGCCCCACGTGCGCTTCGGCAGTGACTATGAGGACCTCTACTACCGCAAGAACATGTACCGTTACCCCAACCGAGTGTCCTACAAGCCTGTGGATCAGTACCGCAACCAGAACAGCTTTGTGCAGGACTGCGTCAATGTCACAATCAAGCGGCACACAGTCGCCACCAGCACTAAAGGGGAGAATTTCTCCGAGACCGACGTGAAGATCATGGAGCGCGCGCTGCAGCAGATGTGCACCACGCAGTACCAGGAGTCCCAGGCCTACTCCTACCACGCCGTGGCCGGCGTGGTGCTCTTCTCCCCACCAGAGATCCTCATCTCCTTCCTCATTTTCCTGACAGTGGAATAAGGAAGGCTTCCTGTTGGCACCATCCTCTTCATCTTGGTCCAGGTTGGGGGAGGGGTATCCAGCGGCAGCCCTTTTAGTGGTAGCATCTCATTCTTGCTTCTCTCTTTGTCCCCCACAGGCTAATACCCTTGGCACCAAATGACACTGGAAACCTCAGGGTAGACCCATATGAGATTTTGCACTGCCCCTTGGAGTCCTTCGTGGACCAGTGCAGGATGGTGCGAGTATAACAGCAAATAGTCAGCAGTGACTGTAGGGTTATTTTTGGTCTAGCGCACCAGGGTGAGGACGAAGCAGACCCCAGTTTTCACCTTTGCCTGAACCTCCGTGGCTCCTTCAGCAGCCGGAGCTCAGGACGCGAATGTCCCAGCTTAGCAGTGATTTTTATAGCAGTTTGGAATTTTTTTCTCTTCCACTTTAAGAAAACCTGACAGCATTTCTGCCAAATTTCAAAAAAAAAAAAAAAAAGTCACATGGTATTCATTCAAAAAACAGAAAAGCAAACAATAGACATCCTTCGCCCTCAGGCTGCAAGCTCAGCCTGCGGAGCACGTGGTCTATGTGCACAGAGAACCTGTGCCCGGGGGAATGCACAGCAGTTACCGAATCAGGAGAAAAATGATTGTGCGGCCCTCCGCCTCTAAGAGGAGCGAGCAGTCACAGAAGGTGAGTGTGACAGTGCCACAGACAGAGGCTTCTGGGACTGAAGACGGGAGCGTCGCCCTTGGAGGCCACCTCTCGTTTGGGATGGGTAAAGCATCCACACATGGCACCCTTGCCTTCTGCACACTGACAGCAGGGCTTCTTTGTTCATTTACTGGAAACTAAAATGGTTTTAGCCTTGTTTGGGAGGAGCCAGGAGATGGTCACTCCGGGGAAGGCTGTGGTTGCAAAGCTCAGGCCTCCAGAGGATCACGCGATGACAGCATCAGCCTGCACGCAGGGATGCTCATGTGTCTGCACTTCTGTCTCAGAACTGTGCAAAACCAGAGTTAGCTTGAGTCCTTAGTTCCTAGAATTTGCTTTTAAATCAAAGAACAAGGAGACAATTTAAACGATAAGTTGCAGATGACAGAAATATCCACTCCAAGTGGAAGAAGAAGTCCTATTACTGTTGTTGAATTCAGGTCAGTTCTTCACTAAATTGTTCAATACTGTCACCTAGCAATTATCTGTTAGTGTTATTGGCTTGCACTACATGAGTATTCTATGTAAAACATATATATATATATATAACATATATATAACATATATATATATAACATATATATATATAACATATATATATAAATACATATTGCATATGGCAGCCGGAGAGATGGCTCAGTAGAATAAGTGCTTGACTGGCAAGAGCAAGGGCCTGAGTTCAATCCCCCATTCTGAGGGAAAAAAAAAAAAAACTGCACATATTGCATATGGCAAACTTAGAGGTTTTGTTTAGAGCAGTAACATCTAAAGTGTCTAATGCATTAGCCATTTTATAAGGCATTAAATCTAAAATGTGGGAACCCTTTTGTGTGGCCCTAGGCTTACAGTTTGCACTGAATAGCACTAACTGGTCTTTGAAATATGCATGTACTTTCTATTTTCTATATTTGTAACTTTGCATGTACTTCTTTTGTTGTATAAGAAGTATGGAAGTGTTTGCTATCTGGCAAATTAAACTGAGCTAAAATGACCACAGCCAAAAAATAAATAAAAATAAAATAGTCCTTGGTAAAATTTATCAGTACTTGCTGCAAGAGTCCATTTTCAGTGTGAAAACACTCGTGCTAGAAAAATAAAAAGCATCTTCTAAGAAAACAGAAATAACTCTATCAATATACTTTAAAATGTCAATAGAATTTATGAATTTACAGATAAATATTGAGCAAAATTGTTCAAAATACCACATCCAAGTTAAAAATCTGACTCCATGTTTTTTCTCACAATATTTATGTTCACTGAGTTTTACTGATGATCTTTTATAAACACCCAAAAAGAGAGTGTTATTACTAAATTACTCAAACTTCAAATACATATGGGAAAATCAATGAATGTATGAGTAAATATAAATTATGATATTCATGGGTGGTAACTGATAAACATCACAAGCAACTGGCTTTTTTTTTCCTTTTTTGATAAGGTTGCCTGAGGATATCTCAATTTTATTTAATCTTTCAAACAACAAGCATATTGATTCATTGTATTGTTTTCTCTGCCTCACTTGCATTACTTTTGACTCAGTCTTTATAATTTCCTTTATCCTATGAGCTTTAGGCTGATAATTCACCACCCTTAATTTCCCTTCCAGGACTGATTTCATTGTATCCTATAAGTTTCAGGATGTTGCACTGGCATGACTCTTTAATTGTAGGTACCATTTAACTTCTTTAATTTCATCTGTGACACAGCAGTTGTTCTATAGGGTTATTAGATTTTCATGTGTTCCTGGAGTTTATGTGGTTTTCTTTTGCAATTTCATTGCCCTATGGTCCAGTCGTAAGCATGATAAAATGTTATCCTTTTGCATTGTCTTAAGCATGTTCTAGGGGTTACTGTGTGGTATATTTTATAGGGTCCCATTGGCCACTGAGAAGAAAATATGTTCTGATATTATGGGCTAGAATACTCTGTAACTAAGTCCTTTTATTAAGTGCATTTATCCACAGGTTTGGTTCAGATCTTACATTTTTTTCTGTCTAGTTTATCTATTTGTGACAATGAGATACTGAGGTCCTCCATTACAATCGTGTTGGTGCATATTTGATCACTCCTGTCCGCTTACATTTTAAACGGCTGTACAGCCCTGTATTAGGTGCACATACAATTACAATCATTTCCTTTCTTCTAGGTTTCCCTTAACAATTCCCTCTTCTGATCAGTTGTGGGGATCCATTGGCCTCTCAGCGTACCCAGAGAGAGACAGTGGCAGGAATGAGGAAAACATAGACGAGAGAAAACATAGACGAGAGGCAAGAGCTAAGTTCAAGGGGAGGCCTCTTCACCTGCTGGGAAAAGGACCCAAACAACAATAATGGTGTTTATTCATACTCATGCAGAGTTAGAATCATGAGACACAAGGCTACCAAGCAACTAGTGGCTGAAATGGTCCAAGAAGGATGCTTTTCCCAAGACAGAAGTGGCTTAGCTGCCTTGGGCATTGTGGCCTTGTTCTGCCCTCACTGATAGGACTGATTTCCAGCTTAAGCCACTCCAAATAATCAGTCTTGTCTTGTAGACCACATTGTCTCTAAACAGAATAGTAACTCCTGCTTTTTTCTGGATTCCTGTCCTTTGGTGCCTTGTTTTCCATCCTTTGACTTTCCATCTATGAATTTCTTTTTTCTTTAGATTTACATGTATCTTTTTCAAGAGAAGAAAAAATAGTAAAAACGAACATTAGAAATGACACAGAATTTCACTAAACAGAATAAATGGAATTCTACAATACTTGTCATATTACATAATGTTGTCTTCCAATTAGTTGTTGACATACCAGATCTAAGCATGCAAAAATTATTTTTAGACACTATAAGAAATTTAAAAGGAAGGAAAATAAACTGCTTATTTTCCTTTAAGCAGTTAAAGCAGTAACTGCTCCCTTTGAATTTGAGTTCAACAAGTTACTTGAATCAGACATATTGAGTCTCATTTCCTGATGCACCCTACCAGTCTATTTCTCTTAATTGATGAACTGAGACCATTTAAATTGATGGTTATAACTGGTATGCACTGGGCTATCTTTGCCAAACAATCTTCCTGTTAATGGGTCCCTGTTGTTCCCCTCTGTTCAGTGGCTTCCCCTGCTTGGTGGTTTCTTTCTATTGAAACTCTTCAAATTCTAGGCATTGTTTTCATTTTCTAGACTGTCTTTCATAACAGCTGGTTTCATTGTCAGGAATTTTTTTCCTTGTTTTCTGTTAGGGAATTATTTTATTTATCCATTAGCTTTGAAAGATTTTGGGGGGATACATCAGTCTATTTTGGAAATTGTTTTCTTTTTAGGCTTATATAGTACTTTGCTGTAATCTCTGCTTGATTTGAGGGTTTGTGTTGAGAAGTCTCCTGTAATTCTGATGAGCTTTCCATAGTAGGTGATCCGTTTCTTGTCTCCAGTGGCTTTTGATATTCTGTTCTTTTTCTGAATTTCTGAGATCTTGATTCTTATGTGTCTAGGTATAGATTTACTGTAGTACAAAGAATACTGACATATTATAGAAAGACACAGAAGCATCTACATCTTCAAGAACAGGAGTCTTAGTTACTCTTCTCTCATTGCTGGGACAAATACCAGACACTCAAAATGAAGGAAGAAAAGTTTTATTTAGCTCGCAGTTATGGAAGGTTTCGTAGTTTGAAACAGCCTTACTTACATGCAAAGAACTCAGAGCCTTGTTTGCTTAGGAGAGAAGGTCAGTGTGTCTGTCTTCTCCAAACATCAACTCTCTGTCAGAGGTGGCCTGAATCGCAGACACTGCCAACCCGTGCTACAGGGTCCATGTCCATGAGGACCTGCTCCACACCTCAGAAAGGCCACAGACTGGAGGGCAGCACCAGCTGCCAGTTCAATGGTTAGCCCATCTCAGTCCCATCCCTTGAGCCTCAACCCTCAAACCTTGTGCCGCTCCTCGAGCCACGTCCACCCCATGACTTACATGAGGCTTTGTGGGGGACAACTAGAAATGAACTGTAACAGATATTCTAGAAAGAGACAGAAGCAACTACAACTTCAAAAACAGGAAAAAGAAACCACAAAGCAAGCAAGTAATTAAAAAGAGGGGGAAACTATGGAACCTACAGTAGCAGAATAACATGACAAAGGTAAGCCAATACATACCAGTTACAGTCATCAATGTAAACAGCCTCCATTCCCAATGGAAAGAAACAGACTAGCAAAGTAGATTAAGAAACAAAATCCAAACAATAAGCTGCATAAAAGAAACACATTTAACTCAAAAGGAAATTCACAGAATGAAAGTCAAAGGACAGAAAACAATTCCCCATGCCACAGGAAACCAGAAAAACAGTAAGGGTAGCTATTATGGATGCTAACAATATCAACTTCAAACCAAAAATCATACAAAGACATAAAGAAGATCACTACACACTTGTTAAGGGAAAACCACAAAAGGAAGAGATAACAATTATAAATATATATGCACCAAATGTAAGAACAGGCGACTACATGAGACACCGTTTAACAGCCATGAAAAGCAATCATACAATTGTAACGGGGGACTCTAACATACCACTGTCACAAAGACATAGATCTGGCAAAAACTCAGCAAAGAAATAACAGAACTAAGCAAACTTGTGAAGAAATGGACTTAGTAGAACTTTACAGTGTTTCACCCAGCAGCAATGCATACACATTCTTCTCAGCTGCACATGAGACATTCTGCAAAATAGATCATATGCTAGAACAAAGAGCATGCTTAAGGAAAAGCAAAGGAATTGGAATTATCCCACGCAAACTACCAGACCACAGTGCAATGAAACTGGAAATTATTTACAAAAGAAACTACAGAAACCCCATATAGGAGTGGAAATTAAGCAACAACCTTCTAAACAGTAGGTCACAGATGAAATTAAACAATATTTACAATCAAACTAAAATGTAGACACAACTTACCAAAACCTGAGGGATACAATAAAGCTGTCTTAAAAGGAAAATTTATAGAGGTAAATTCACCCATTAGGGAAACAGAACAAACTCAAATAAGTGATCTTATATTGCATATGAAGTTCCTAGAAAAAGAAGAGCAAGTCAAGCCCAAATCCCAAAGAAGGTAGGAAATTATAAAGATTAGAGAAGGAATTAATGCAAAGGAGATGAAAAAAATACAAACAATAAATGAATCAGAGGGTTGGATCTTTGAAAGAATAAATTTATAAACCCCTAGGCAATCTCATTTTTAAAAAGGGAAGAAAAATCCCAAATTCTTGCAATAAGGAATGAAAAGGGTGAAATCACCACAGACCCTAGAGAAATTCAGAACATCATCAGTGCCTACTTCCAAAATCTTTACTCTCAAAGGATGGAAAACACGGCCTAAATGGACAAAATCCTAGACACATATGAACTATAAAAGCTGAATCAAGAAGATATAAAACTTCTGAACAACATAATAATGAGAAACTGAGTTGAAAATGTAGTAAAAAAAAAAAAAAAACCTACCAACAAAGAAAAGCTCAGCTCCTGATGGAGTCACAGCTGAATTCTACAAGAAGTGCAGAGAAGATCTAATGCCAACTTTTCTCACACTCTTCAGTGAAATTGAAAGGGAAGCATGTCCTCCAAACTTATTCCTGGAGACAACTATTACTCTGATTCCAAAAGCAGAGAAAGAGCCAATTAAAACAGAAAACTACAGACCAATCTCTCTAATGAATATAGATGCAAAAATCCTCAATAAAATACTAGCAAACAGAATGCAGCAAATCATCAACAAGATTATACATCACGTCCAAGTGAGATTTCTCCCAAGAATGCAGAGATGGTTCAACATACACAAATCCACAAATGTAACACACCACATCAATAGAACCAAAAACAAAACCCACATGATCATCTCGATAGATGCAGAAGAAGCTTTTGGCAAAGTCAAACACTCATTTATGATAAAAAAAAAAAAAAACCCTATGGAGAGGGCTAGCGGGATAGCTCAGTGGACTACATGCTCTCTTAGGCAAGTGCAGGGACCGGGGTGCAATCCCGGGCACCGCATACCTCGCCAGCCCCAATCTAAGCATGGTGGCTCATTCCTGTAATCCCAGTGCTGGAGAGGCTGAAAACAGGAGAATCACTATGAGTCTGAATTACATAGTGAGACCCTGAACCAAGTACATAAAATTTAAAAAAAAAAAACCCTATGGAGAATAGAAATAGATAGTTTATATCTCAACCTGATAAAAGCCATCTATGAGAAACCAACAGCCAACATCATACTAAATGGGCAAAAACTGAAAACCTTCCATTTAAAATCTGGAAAAAGACAAGGATGTCCACTGTCTCCACTCCTATTCAATAGAGTTCTGAAAATATTAGTCAGAGAAATTAACAATAGAAAGCAAAAAAGGAGTAAGGGGCTCTCTGCTCCTGTGCGCTCCCGTGCGTCCGCGGATAGCAGATCTTCCC